CGTTTGTCTCTTAAATGCATAATTCTACTTGTCGGACGGAGGATTGAATACTCCTACAAAGCTTCTTTTTAAATTTCTATTTTGTATACGTCGGGTCATAATACAATTTCCTTTTTTCATAGGTTCGTGGTGACTTAAGTACATTTTGTTGGATAGAGAATAATATATCAGACGTGTGTTGTCGTGAGGATTTGGTGCATGTTGTTTACTCATCTCTGAATTTTAAAGATATAATGCTTGCTACCGGTAAATTAGCACTTCATGAGGCGATTTTCCAAGGACGGTTATTTCAGTATCTACCTCTTGGAATGGAATACGTGGGTTTCGATGCTAACGGACAACGTATAATGGGAATTCGTGACACTGAGTATGTAATGCTACAAGAAATTATCATGCTGTGATTTCACAAATTGGACAGTAATTAAAAGTTACTCTTACTAGTTGTATAGCAAACGTCATTGAAAAAGATGATGATTTTTGTTGGAACATACCCGATGCGTGGACATTTGAAGAAGCAGCAACGGTCCCGTGCGTTTACAGCACGGTTTATTTAGCCTTATACATTTATGGAAAAATGAAAAAAGGTGATAAAATACTTATACATTCTGGTACTGGAGGCGTTGGACAAGCAGCTATTCATCTCGCTCTTAAAGAGGGATGCGAGGTGTTTACTACCGTTGGCACAAGTAACAAACGGAACTTCATTAAAAAAATGTTTCCGATTATTCCGGATGAACATATTGGAAATTCTCGAGACACAAGTTTTGAACAAATGATTATATACCAAACGAAAGGTCGCGGCGTCGACATTGTACTAAATTCATTGGCGGAAGAAAAGTTAATCGCCTCTGTTCGGTGTTTAGCTCAAAACGGTCGATTCTTAGAGATTGGCAAATTCGACCTTGTTTCTAATAATCCTCTAGGTATGTCTGCGTTTCAGAAAGGTATCAGTTTTCACGGGGTTAGACTGGAAAATATGATGATAAAAAATAGGATATGCAAGTGGAAGCGTTTATTGTTCACATTGATAAAAGATGGTCTACATGATGGAACAATTAAACCAGTCCAAGCAAAAATTTTTCTAAAAACCGATGTTGAAGAAGCTTTTAGGTATATGGCGAGCGGAAAACATACAGGAAAGGTACGCTTATGTTGACAAATTTTATAATAATAGAAAAGTTTATTCATAAATAATGGCTTTCTATATAATTCCCATTCATATACAATATAGCTGGGATATAAATAGTTTAGATTATGCACATTTCGACCGATTTTCAGCTTGGTTCCTGCCCCATATTTCACCAACCCGCGCGCAGTATGGGGCAGGGACCAAGCTGAAAATCGGTCGAAATGTGCAATTAAATCCCAGCTCTGACGTATGACGTGAATTTTTAAAATTATTTTTATAGATAATTATAAATATCCATGAAAAGGATGAACCTTTAAATAAGCACATTTTCGCGTATCGTCGCTATTATTGCCTCAGAGATAGAAGTTACATTATACTAGGAGGTCTGGGCGGATTTGGTTTAGAATTAACCGACTGGCTTATATTTCGTGGCGCTAAGAACATCGTTCTGATTTCCCGAAATGGAATAAAAAACGGTTACCAACGCATGAAAATTCGACTATGGAAATCGTATGGTGTTAACGTTCTGATCATCAAGAATATCGATGTTGCTGACCTCAAAGATTGCGAATATCTCTTACAGACTACGGAAAAGGAAGCTTCAGTGGATGCGATATTCAACCTCGGTGTGGTACTGAAGGATGGTGTCCTCAAAAACCAAACCGCGGAAACATTTGCAGAGGCCTTCCAATCGAAGGCTCGTGCAACGCAAATGCTGGACAAACTTTCTAGGAAAATCTGTCTTAACCTGCGGCATTTTGTGGTGTTCTCTTCCGTTTCCTGCGGCAGAGGAAACGCTGGTCAGACAAATTACGGCATGGCCAACTCCATTATGGAAAGAATTTGTGAGAAAAGGGCGGAGGAAGGATTACCAGGATTGGCGATTCAGTGGGGAGCTGTGGGTGATGTAGGTCTCGTTGCTGACATGATGGAGGATGATAAGGAACTAATTATCGGAGGCACTTTACAGCAAAAAATATCTTGCTGTCTCGACGAGCTCGATAAGCTTCTACTTCAAAGTCGGCCCATTGTGAGCAGTATGGTCGTAGCTGAAAAAAAAGTGAGATGTGACGGAAGTCTGATAGAAACAATTGCTAATATTTTAAGTAGGTATAGTAAACTCTTATTGAGACTTATTCTTTTGCAAATACTTATCATGTTTGTTTACTAATCCATTTTTCAGAAGAAGAAATTATATTACAGATAATAATAATTTTATATTTTATATTACAGACATTAATGACATGAAGATTATAAGTCCAAATTCTACTCTGGCCGAACTCGGAATGGATTCTATGATGACCGTAGAGGTCAAGCATTCTCTGGAACGAGAATTTGATATATTTATCACAGCACAAGAGATACGAAATCTCACTTTCGCAAAACTCAATAAGATGTCTATTGCAAGCAGTGACGATGATGTGAATGATGAAAAGAAATTCGACACAGAGAAGTCAAACTTTATAAAAATTTTAATTGGTATTACATTAAAAGATGAAGACTTTGTTCCCTCAACAGATTTTTCGACTAACAGACAGAACACTACGACTGAAGTATTTCTTATACCGGGTATTGACGGATGTGGTACTGTATTCAAAACCATAATACCATATATTAAATTTTCAACATCGCTGTTGCATTATAATACAAACAACATTGATTCTACAAACGTGATATTGGAAAGGATAAATAATCTCACAAACGTATGCAATCGTATTAATAATTTCATTTTATGTTGATACAAAACTGTTTTTATTGTTTTAAAAGATATAAATTTTATCGAATTCTTTTGATATTTTTACAGCGTATACTTTCAATGCTGACAGATGGAAAAGATTTTGTAATAGTAGGGTACTCCTTCGGATCTCTTATCGCAATTGAAGTAGCAAGAAGATTGGAAGCTATGAATTTTAAAGGTCGTCTTGTTCTTATTGATGGAGCTCCTGAGCCTTTTCAAACAGTAATCAAATCTTTTGAATCAGATTTTGATGATGCAAATTTTCACATTGATATCTTAACTAATATTATGGAAATTTATTCAACAGGAAGTTCTGAAGAGGTATACAACTTTTGTTTTAGACCCACATTGAAACTTTGCATTTAATTACATTTAATTACATTTAATTTACGATATATTTATATTATTTTTCGATTTTTATTATGTTGATCAGTTTCTTTGTTCTGTCTTATGATCTTGTATATAAAAATAAAGAAAATGTATATTTTTGTAGATTTTAATGGAATTAAAGAAATGTGAGAGCTGGGATGAAAGAATAAATATTTTCGCTAAACAGTTGTCGGTTTTATACACGTATCTCTCACTTACAAATTTAAAGACGTTGTGTACAACGATTTACAAACATTTATTCGCTCTCCGAGAATATGATTCTTCTACTTTGCCGCCTATTACGTCTCCAATAACATTGCTAAAATGTATATCTCTGTTCAATATATCAACTATCGAAGAGGATTATGGTTTGCATAAAGTATTTAAAAAATTTTACAATAATTTGTACTGAATAAATCAGATTTAACAAAATTTTTTTGTTAATGATGTATGTAATTATTTAAGGTAACTCAAGGTGTGGTAAAAGTACATTATATTGAAGGTGATCATGTGACAATCTTGAAGAATAAAAAAGTGGCGGCTGCAATTAATGGAGAACTACCATTTGCAGTTTGAAGGGGATCTTAAAACAAACGCCGAACTATTAGTCAACTGATAATAATATACAGGGTGAGTCACTTAAAACCGGCCACCCGACGCCGAACTCCGACGGGAAAACGCCCTCTAATAAATGAAACTAATATATGTATAATAAATGTATATGGGCATTTCACGCCAAATCGGACGGTCTTCGTCATTTTTATTCCGTTTCTTAGATTATCACTCTAGCTCAGACTCAAACTGCATACAATATAAAACTGCGTTTAGAAATTTTACCCGGATGCATCCAGAGATTATTTTAATCTTATTAACGTTCAGTGAACAACGAAGATAAAATAATAAACCCTGAATTACTGAATCCATTCTAGAGTCACTTTTCGCTACGTCCAATACTCACATCAGAATGTAAAACATGTATTGGCAATACATATAACCTTTTTAAGGTTGCATATTCTTTCATTGCATTGCATATCCTTCCAGTATATATCCCGTACGTAGCACGTAATATCACAATAGTACCGCAGCAATATTGCAATATATTAGAAATATTACATATTACAGTGTAATATGTAATATTTCTAATATATTGCAATATTGCTGCGGTACTATTGTGATATTACGTGCTACGTACGGGATATATACTGGAAGGATATGCAATGCAATGAAAGAATATGCAACCTTAAAAAGGTTATATGTATTGCCAATACATGTTTTACATTCTGATGTGAGTATTGGACGTAGCGAAAAGTGACTCTAGAATGGATTCAGTAATTCAGGGTTTATTATTTTATCTTCGTTGTTCACTGAACGTTAATAAGGTTAAAATAATCTTTGGATGTATCCGGATAGTTTCTGAACGCAGTTTTATATTGTATACAGTTTGAGTCTGAGCTAGAGTGATAATGTAAGAAACGGAATAAAAATGACGAAGAATGTCCGATTTGGCGTGGAATGCCCATATATATTTATTATACATATATTAGTTCCGTTTATTAGAGGGCGTTTTCCCGTCGGAGTTCGGCGTCGGGTGGCCGGTTTTAAGTGACTTATCTTGTATATTACTATTAGTTGACTATCAGTATTGAAAATTTGTAGTTCCCGTGACACATATATACTACAGATTTTCAGCACTGATAGTAATATACAAACTGGCAATAATATGAAACATGGCTTGAATGGTGGCGGTTTATTATTCTATCATAAATGTATATTTATATTGCTGGTTATAAATAAAAGGATATAAATAAAATGTGATTATTGCTTGTAACATCCGCCGTCCGAAAAGAATCGTAACGACAAACGCCACTAGCCGCGACACTCAGGATCATTGCTATAACAACGATAATCTCGATCGTGATCGCGATGCTAAAATTGTTGCTATTAACAACGATACTCCCGATACGTGATGTGGGGCTGCGAGGCCGAAATCGCGGCGTGAAGCCCATGGCACATACAAAAACGTAAGGCCGAAAGACGTAATCAATAAGCGATTTGGCCAATCACGGTAGAGACCGTAAGGCCAGTAGCGAATCCAATGTTACGATTTCCTTACTGCTTACGTCTTACGGCCTTATGTTTTTGTATGTGCCATGGGCTTCACGCGATCACCGCGTGATCATGAAACATCGATTGCCGATGCATTGCGCCTGCGTGAGCTAGCGACTTAATAAATGCAACATCTGCATTAATTACACTGTTAAAAATGTCATGAAATTTAATATACTTTTAATTTACACAATTTGAACTTAATTTCATGACATTATATTAAATTTAATGTATTTATAACTGAAAAGTATATTTGTGTACGTGTATATGAAATTTAATGTATTTGTCATGAAAATTTATGAAATTTAATGTACACATTTATTATACATTTAAGTAACTACTGTAACTTAATTATCAGTTAAATCATTCGTTACTTTTAATTTCGTTAATAACCACGAGCTTCATTTATACGATCAAAGCGAAGCTCGTGGTCATATTTCTAACAGTGTAGACTAAATTCCGAATAAAATGTAAACAATAGTGATATGCAAAAGCATACTGAAGAACTTCGGACACATGCACTGAGCATTCCGATAAAAATGCTCAGAATGCCCACAAGGGCGAGCAGACTTGCAAGAGTCACTACTGGAACCTCTTCATATAATTTAAAACAAGAATACTGCCTTAAAATTTGCATTAAGCGAAATTATAGTAATCGATACCGGATTTTTATCGAAGTTTCCAGAATAATGTTAACTTGTAAAACGGCTTATGATTGGCTCACCCCCTTTTCACGAAAAGTTACCTCGTGACGATATATAAACAGGGGTCTTTCGTGGGCATCGCGCACTTCGTGAAATTTTCATTAGTTAAAGCACTTCGTGATTTTTCATCAGTCTTACAAGGGAAGTTTCACAACTATCCGGAACCGATTTGATTCTCCATGAAATATATTGTTAAACACGAAAATCTAAGAGACGCATATTTTTTTGCGTGCCTTAACTCATGTTTAAGGGGTGAAACATCCCTTTGAAAATAACGATATTTTTCTTTCGAGGCGAATATCGTTGGAAGTATAAAAGATGGAAAAAAATTTTTTAAACAAAAGTTGTACGGTTTCAAGAGTACTTTAAAGATAGAAAGAAAACAAATTTTTTTAATTCTTTTGTTTAACAATTGTTAACTTCCCAGGCTAACGTTATCTGGGATCAGACATGCGACTGACAACGGTTATCCTGCACGCGAGCACCTTAAGAAAAACTAACTAAACATCGCAAGCGACGGTTTACCTAGCTATATTTTTCGCTGTATAACAAAGCTTGACATCCACTCGGAGCAATCTTCCCGCAGACTCGAGAAAAATCTTAAATCATTTCCTTTTTTTTCTGAATCTCCCTCCAACAACGCACCCGAGATCAACCACGATAAGACCTAAGAAAAAATGTAAATCACCAGCTTGACATTGCAACATAACAATTGCTCTCTGGACAAAGAAAAGACGCCCTTTTTTAAAGTATGAATAGAGGCCTGCGAGAGCGCACGGGCAGAAGAAGAACTTAAATGAATCATAATACCATTTTTAGATATAATCATAATATCATATTAACATCTTTGAAATATGATGCCTGATTGAGCATCGAAATTATTAGAATTTAATTTAATTCGCGAAATTACTACAGTGGTTTAATTGTGTTTAGTCCCGAAATATTTCGGTACACAGTTCGTTAAACTACAATTGTGGTATGTATGTCAAGTACATATATATCACATTTAGTGATTCAAGATTGAATTGTTTAAGCATTTTAAGATCTAGCTTCGACCGGATAGGGCTCTAATTTAAATGAATCAGTTCGGATCGTGTGTCGCGTATATTTTTTGGGTGGAAATTTTACTGTAATCGGTCATGTCACACACACCTACACAATTGAGCGGTGGTTCGTATACCGATCGTGATCCACCATTCGAACCGCCGGCCCGCCCCAGGACTTCGGGGCAAGCTTTGCGCACCGTTCAATCATCTCGGGGACTGTTCAACCACCTCTGCACCTCGCACACTATTTTTTCGACCAACCAGTAAGTCGTTTTTGTTTAACTGCATACACACATATATACAGGGTGTCCCAATAACTATTACCACCTGAAATATCTTCTAATTCTATAATCTATCTCTTATAGAAAAATTTATATAACCAAAATTACATAATGTAAAGGGGGCTATCATATGGTGATAATAATTTTTGTCCAGATGGAGGCGCTTCGGAGATTCCAAGGTCAAGTTCGTTTTTTTAAATGGAATTATATGAATTTTTTTACACAATATGATTTCTCTAATTATTTTACACATAAAAGTATTGAGATAGAGATATAAAAAAACAGTAGTTTACGAGATATTTTGTACTTTATTGTGACACATATTGACATAAAATGTTAAATAACTCGTAATCTATTAATTTTTTATAATCGTACGTTAATACTTTTATGAACAGAATAATGAAATGAATCAATTGGTGGAAAGAAAACACATAGTTGCTTATTTAAAAAATTATCCATTTTGCATACATGTTTTTTTAAAGCAACTGTGTGTTTTACGCCATTTTAAATTTTGGAAATCTGACTGTGGATTATTCATGAATGACCCGAAAAACTTTCAGATATCGTTTTTTAAAATTGAATAAATTTTGGATTACTTGATTAATGATTTAAGAATTCCAATCAGTTCTTCATTCAGTAAAGTCGCCATACTGGATCCGTCATTTCGAATTTTGAAAATATGACTACGGATTGCTCACGAATGATTCAAAAAACCTACAAATATTGATTTGCATAGGAATCGAATGAATTTTGGAACATCTGATCAATGAAATAAACGTTTTCAATAATTTTCATAACTTTTTTATTCATTCTAACCGCCATATTGGAGCAGCTGCTTTGAATTAAAAAAAAACGCCACGTTTTTCTTTAAACCACATATAAAAACGAAAATTTTAAGCCCTTGAATGTGTTATTTCGACTTCACAAATTTTGCCCAGATATTTGTCCCCGTTGACGTGGAACGTCCCATATATACATGTATAATATATAACCCCCTCGCTCCAATTATAATGCGCGTTCGTGGTATCTCTAAAACCGCCCGCTCATGGACACGAAACCCGTGCCTCCGGAGGAATCCGCAGGTCCGCCAGGTCGCGCGTTTATAACACACATAAAGAAATTTACATTAATAAAATACATAAATAACAAAAATGATAATCAGACATGCAGTCCTACTCAAACGTGATTTTTTAATAATATAAACTAAGAAAATAAAAATTTACGAAACAAAAAACTAAAAATTTCGTGGTTACAATTACTTTGTAAAACATTTGGTCAAGCTACGAGGGCAAGTCAATAAGTTTTTAGAAAAACATAGTAAAACACATTTTTTTTTGATCGATTCATTTTTATTTCTCAACATAATCTTCTTTCAGCTCGATACATTTGATCCAACGATTCTCCAACTTTTTCAAGCCGTCCGAATAATATGATTTGTCCAACCCTTCAAAATAAGCCTGTTTCGGCGATGAGCTGCTCTCTGGTGGTGAATCTCTTTCCTCCGAACCATTTCTTCAGGTTTGGAAACAGGAAATAATCGTAGGGGGTTAAATCTAACGAATATGCTGGATGGGGAAGCAATTCGTAGCGGAATTCGTTGAATTTAGCCATCGGGGCCGGGCACGTGTAAACCCGTGCGTTGTCTTGATGGAAGAGCACTTTCTTCTTCGCTAAATGGGGATGTTTCGTCCATGTTTCGTCCACAGTAATGAATCGACGAAGAAATTTATCTGGATTACGTTGAAACATCTCCAAACATTGTTTTGAAATCGTCACACGGTCGCGCTTATGGTCCACAGTGAGCAAACGCGGCATCCATCTTGCCGATAGCTCTTTCATACACAATTGTTCGTGCAAAATTGAAATCACTGTGCCATGTGATATGACTGTGGCCTCAACAAGATCGCGAACTTTCACTCGTCGATTAGTCAAAACAATATTGTGGACTTTATCGATGATTTCTGGCGTAGCAGCCTCAATTGGATGTCCTGAACGAGGTGCATCACATGTGGATGTACGACCACGTTTAAATTCATTCACCCAATTGTATACAGTCGCAAATGCTGGTGCAGATATGCTATGAACATTATCCAACTCGGCTTTGATTTCTTTCGGCGTTAAACCTTTCATATGTAGATGTTTGATCTGCACGAAACTTTTTTATGTTTTGCAAAAAATACAAAGGTTGTTCGCTTTAATCGTTTATAGAAATGAAACCACGCGATGAATTCCACTCAAAAATTGACAATAATCAGCCGAAAGATGCTACTTGTCAAAAAGTAATATGACATGACACTGCGAGTACCTTCTGACAGATTTTCTAAGAATTTATTGACTTGCCCTCGTATTTGTTTAGATCTCGTCGAGCTACCCCAAATTTTAAAAAAATCATGTTTTTACGTCAATTTATTACTGAGAAAATGTGAATTAAGCAAATTTTAACTCACGAAATCAGATAGGTACGCGCGAGCCGCCGAACGGTCCGGTCATCCCCATTTTAACGCGCGCCGGCTTCTCCCACTTTGCCCGGCGCACTGCCTGGCTCGCGTTCCTCAAGTTTCCAATGGTTTTAAAACAAACTTTTTCGGCCACAAAAAATTCAAGAATTTTTTAACAGTAAATTCAATTCTTTCTTGACAAATTGATTCTAGACGGAACTCTTAATCTTAACAATTAGAGCCACAGTGATTTTTTGAAAAAAAAATTGTTATCTCGGCTCGTAATAATCGGAGGGCAGCTTTCTTTTTTTTTTAAATTCATAGAAAAATGTCAGCTATCGAATGCTTTATTTGATATGATGCATATTAACGGAATTACTCCATTGTTTTATAAAAAAACAATGGTTTGCATAAAGACATCCACTTTTCAAAATCGTTTTAAAATAATTTAATTGCAAAAAATCGTTTTATTACTAAATGTATGTGATAGTGCAACTCTTGAAGAAGAAAAATCGCCCCTATAAATTGCTGTGCGATTGCTCAAAGATGAAGAAATTAAATTTTCCGCAGACAGGTTTTTAATGAACAATGGCATTTTGCAGAAACTAATGAACATTTGAGGCTCTTTCAGGGCTAGATTTTTTCGTTATCATGGGGGCTATTTTATGAGAATTTCAAAACTTTGCGTTTCAATCTCGATGAACAGAGAGCGAGTGAAGAAAAGGTCTTTTTCGGTAGTTTTTATTTCTTTTCTACTTAACTAATAGACTGATTTTAATGTTTCGCGTCTCATTTTGTAGGTATTTCGAATACCTACATTTTTTATACCGAACTTTTTTCCATATAATCGATATCTTTCGTTTTAAAAGCGAAAAATCTGCTTTTTGCAACTATTCGAATTTTTTTCGCATTTCCCACACGAGTTGCGAGTCTCAAACGTACACATTTTTTTTCGGATGGCCTTCCGAAGATTTTCATCGAAAAAAATGTCAACTTACAATTTTTACACGAAATGGGTCTTTTTGAGTCTAATTCTCCTGGACTATAGACTATATGTTACGATGTTAGTTTTTTCTGTTATCTTGTTAGTACCTGCATCTTTGTTTGCGCATGTGTAGAGAACGTTCATGATGTTTTTTAGTTGGTTCCTTTTTGCTCTCTCGCTCTTAGCGCCTTTTTAGCTAATCCATATATCTTTTTTACCGTCATATACACGAAATATTTAGAGCAATACATAAATCCTATTGTAGCAATAATCTACGTTTTGTGCTTCTAAATATTATATATATATGTTATTAATTCACGTGAAAGAATCAGCAAGTCTTTTTTACGAAGAGTTTTCTCCTACCAACGCACATCTAACAAAATTACTTTATCGAAGGATGCGAGGAAGCAAAATCTATATTATCGGATGAAGCTGAATCATAATTCACAAAAATGCGCGTCATATTATACAAGACCAAGACTTTAACAGTGTGGCATAATTAACCAACAAGTAGTTTTTGCAGGAGAGCGTTAAAATTAACGAATAAGCGATCTGATCTATGTGGCGCTTATTCGTGGCTTAGGGCCGGAGCGCGCCTCACTCGCGTGTATCTAGTCTGTGACTAGTATTCATAAATATAAATGTTTTTTAAGACGTTTATGACTCAGTTATGATTAGTTTATTACATCTTAATACTGAACTTAAAATAATCTTAAATAATAAAAATCAACTATGAATAATACCAGCATTTGGCTTTCTTGTGTTGATTAAGTAATGAAAAGTTAATAAAATAATAAGTACTGCTTTTATTTCTTACGTAATAAATGAATAAATAATTATCTGATTGCACAATATCATCTGAAAATAAAGGCAAATGTAAATAGTAATATGCTTTGCGTGTAGTGAGCGTTTTATTGTTCCAAATATTGCACAATTACGTGATATATAGTTAAATAGTATCATTAAACTTAAAAAATACATTTGTAACAGTGATTAAAAATAAAATAAAATATCAAGAGACGCGGTAGCGTCTCCAGCCACATTCAAAAACTAAAAGACACTACAAGTCTCTTATCCCGCCACCAAAGTCCATTTTTTTAGGGGTACAGAATTACTAAAATATAAAAAATTTTGAATCGCACGTAACATATTCTGAAAAGCGGCATTGCCACGAGTAATTTGAGCAAAAAAAATAAAACTCGGTCAAGCCGTTCTGGACATACAAGCAGTCAAAAAGTGATGATTTTCATGAAAAATGAAGTAATATCTTCTTCTTCTTTTTCTCCTCTGTCCGCAGTCACATGCATCTCTCTTCTCTCTCACCTTTCACTCTCACCTCCCCCAACTTCGAC